CGAAACTGGTACTTGCGGAATTCAGAACAGAAACACTGTGACACCGAGGCGCTCGGTTATGCGCGCTGCTCGATGCGTGTTGGCTTATGAAGGTGGCAGATCGGGATAGGTCAGAGGAAGAAGAAGTGTTCAGCCTCCTCTAGGTGTTTTGTAAGATATCAGAGTCGTCATGATCATAAGTCCCATGTAAGAGCTTATAAATCAAATGTTGGAGTTTAATAAAATTTGGTGCTAACAACATGCCGCTAGAGATCATTTCTCCCTCTGTGCTTCGTCATTTCTTATCAACGGTTCCGAACATATTGGTGTAGTGGTAACGGTCCAGGCATATTCTGGAAGTTCTCGGTTCGAATCTTGGTGGGGACACGGCTATCTTGCCTGAGAATTGTTTGCAGTTTTCCTCGGTCTGTCCAAGTAAAAACCAGAAAAGTGTCTCGATTAGGAAACGGGCGATTCCTTCAGAATCATTGTTTATTTATCTTCCTACCATTCGAGGTCTACTGCAAGGGTGGCCAGACTTACTGAACATCGGTGTCGTTATAACAATTTTCAGAAGTTCGGGAACAGTAAACACATGTGAATTGGATGACACAAATGTGAAGATACTTGCTTTCCCCTTGCAGAATTTATTATGTTTCATTCATTCATAAAAATGGAACTTAGTAAAATTGTTTTTCACCTGCAGCGCTAACAGTGCTAAAGAGCCACAATCCGCTCGCGAACCACAGTTTGGACGCTTCAACTATATCATCTAGATACTGACAGCTTCGTAATATAAACCACAAAAAATATCGTAGGTAATATTAACATTGTTGATGCGCCATAGCTCAAGCGGTTAGTCGCTGGCTTCCCATCGTGGCGGCCCAGGTTCGATCCCGGGTCTGGTCAAGTGGGATTTGTGGTGGACAAAGTGACGCTGGGGAAGGTTTTCTCCGAGTACTTCGGTTTCCCCTGCCAATCTTTATTCCACCAATTGCTCCACAATCACCCTGACCTATCATCTGGGGCTGGTACAAGAGGCCAGAAGTGGCCGCAGTACAAGGGACTTAGTCCAACCCCACTAGCAATAAAGAAACATTGTTGATAATGAATGGCCTAGAAAGAAGAAGAAGAAGAAGAAGAAGAAGGTTCCCATTTCGATTGCAAGATTTTAGAAACGTAATTAAGGCGACAGGGAGCTACAGCATGTCGGCAGTGCTATTAGGGAATGCAGATATCTGCGTTACACTAGCACTTTAAGCTACCTTTTACATTTTTGACTTAACTTGAAGTTTCCTCTCATATTACTTACTTACTTACTTACTTACTTACTTACTTACTCATGGAGCTGAGCCCTTCTGGAGGAGCCGCCAATTCTGCAGCTACTCAAGAATTTCTCATCACTTTATGGAACCCGAAAGTTCATTATCACGTTCACAAGAGCCCTACACTGGTCCCTATCCTGAGCCAGATCCATCCAATCCATACCATCCCATCCTATCTCTCTAAGATCCATTTTAATATTGACCACCCCCCTAGGTCTTGGTCTTCCCAGTGGTCTCTTTCCTTCTGACTTTCCACCAATATCCTATATGCATTCCTCGTCTCCCCCATTCGTGCTACCTGCCCTGCCCACCTCATCCTCCTTGACATGATCATTCTAATTATACTTGGAGAAGAGTACAAGTTATGAAGCTCCTCATTATGCAGTTTTCTCCAACCTCCTGTCACTTCATCTCTCTCTGGTCTAAATATTCTCCTCAACACCCTGTTCTCAAACACCCTCAGTCTATGTTCCTCCCTTAATGTCAGAGACAAAGTTTCACACCCATACTGAACCACAGGCAAAATTATACTTTTGTATATTCTAATTTTTATGTTTTTGGACAGCAGACGAGAAGACAAAAGGTTCTGGACTGAATGGTAGCAAGCATTACCCAAGTTCAATCTCCTCTTATTTCCTCCTGAATCATGTTTCGATCTGTTTTCGTTGTTCCCAAATATCTGAAGTGTGCCACATTTTCAAAACATCTGTTTCCTATCTTCATGTCATGAGGGGAGAGTTTGGATGCGGAACGGATTCTTCTAGCTGAACCTAGTGCGCAATATAATTGTCAGTTTGGATTAACCTAGCCAAAGATAGGGATATCAGTGGCAGACTGTTGTGAGCAACAACGAGAATATCAGCTCTACAGAAGGCAGGTAATTCCTTCACTGGCTAAACGATTAGTCTATTATTTGTACAGAAGCTCAAGAAGAACTCCATAGAATGGTTAATGGGGTTTTAGATGGTGAACGCTTCTAACTTTAGTTCGCAGTTTGCTCTTAGAAAAGAACACTGCTCTGGATTTCTGTTATGAATACGAGCTACTTCAGACAAACGCTTTTCGATCCTCAAAGGATTATTATAATTATTACTCATGTTATTCTAACTACGTAGGTTAGAATGGATGTGGTGCTGATAGAGCAAAAAACTGTGCGAGCGGGTATTGTTGAGTGTAACAGCTGCAATTAGGAACATAATATAAACATGGTAATGATAAAAGATACTGCGAAATTCCTTTGAGGACCGAAACGAGTCTGTATCTATGTATATTAAATTATTATATTTATTGACTGGATGTGATAAAGGCCCGTTAAACAAAATTCCATTAGAGTTCTGATTACGAATTAATCCTAAAGCTATTCAAACAAATACAGTTATATTGAATGCACCGAATAACATTCAAGATAATCTGCGGTCTTTTACACGAATAATTCCTTTATCTATGTATATTTACATATATTTTCTTCCAACTTCAGCCTTTCTTTTCCGAAATGCTGAACATCAAGCAATAAAGCACGGGAATTAAATTAAGAATCTTGGACTTTATCAGTATTTTAATATGAATTCTGCAACTGAAGTTAGGCGATACTATAACTGGAAACAACAGAATGAGATCAAAATATTTTTACAGAAAATGAAAAGTAATTTTGTTAGGAATCGTTACTTTTGTTGCACCTTTGAAAACCCTGATGATAGTAGCTTACTACTGACAATTCGGTTACCTGTTATTGGTAAAAAAAAAACGTTTCTGATTGTACGTCATGCGTTGAGCAATCAACCTTACAGGAGAAAAGTCCTATGTCCAACGTTGATCAGCAAAATTTACGGAAGAGAAGTCCTGTGTGTTCAACAAGCTCTCGGGTATGGCGAGTCAGCCATTATGTTGAAACTACAACCTAATAATTACGTAATAAAGATGTTAACTATTACGTCACTCTTTGATAATGACTCACCTCAAAGATGTTTTAGACACGGGCTCTCTATTACGTCATAATGAAAAACTGTCATCATCATCTTCATTTCGAATTGAAATCTGAGCGGAAGCAAATGGGTAAAACGCTCTCTCTTGAGTAAATTGCTGACTAGCCTCAGGCCGAGCGCAGTGGCTCAGTAAAACAAAATTCAAAGCATCGATTGATAACGTGAGAAGTCGAAACTGTGTAAGACCTCCGGCGATGACGCTAATTTTAGGTTGAGAATTTTAACACCACGGGAAGAAATCGAATTATTTTATCGACTAGCAGAGAAAATGTTACGGAGGTAAATTAAGGCAGTCTCAAATTTAATATTTGCACTACCACGAAACCAGAATTAGCAACACTTTAAAGCATAATTACGGACAATAAATCGTTTCACGTGACTTTTGAAATGTAAATTATAGGGGAATAACAAACAGAAATGTGATTCACAAAAATTTAAGAAAGGAATGAATTCACTATTTGTTACCATTAATGTTATTGCCAGTACCACTGTCGTCGTCGTTGTCAGAAGCAACAGAGCATTGCTACATACCGTATAACACTCAACTATTTTCTATAATTCGTTAATTAGCGGTTGTAATATATATTGCTCCGCTGTCTGCAGTGTAGCATTTCAGGTTACAGATGTGCATGATTCACTAGAAAAAATTCAGTACAACTTTTCAATATTCTGTTTTGCGATGAATGCTTTCGTTATCAAATATTACATTCATGCATTCCGCGTTCGATGTGCCTGTTCGATGACAATTACAATACACTGCTCCGTAGGTAATTTCTTCCGCCCGCCTGTTATGTAGGTATAAAACTTGTTCCCTCGTAGTTTGTGTGTGTTTAATGATTTTGCTACTATAAACACTTGTCTTTATTGTATATTTATAAAAGTAACAATACGTATGTATATAATGATAGCGACGAAAGCGACTGTGATGATTATTGCCATGTACGTCCTACAAAATAACCCAATATCGTTTTAACTGCCCACTAGTCCTACATGTCTTATTATTTATACTTTGTACGTGAACATAAGATATTGACATCGATGTTAAAACCTGACGTTACTTTCAAACGTGATAAACTTAACATGTTCCTTACAGACTTGCACAGCAGTCGAAGCATGACAGTAACAACAGCCTGCATCCATTTCACTTCCTACCGCGTGTGAGATTTTGGGCTGTAGTGTGGATCAATAAAGGTCTCCCACGCTATCAGAGACTTGAAAAAGCTCTCCACAGCATCTTCATGCCCGCTAATTTTCACAATAACAAATTAGAGGCTAACCCATAGAATAATAACAGAAATATACAGAAATTGTAAGTGAAGGGTAGAAAATACAATTAAACCTGTAGTGCCTATGCTGAAGAAAGGTATTTATTGCAAAATAAGTAAGTAGGGGCGTAAGAAAATAATTATTTTCAGATCGAGTAACGATAAAATACAGTGACAAGACAAGAAATACTTCTTTTTTAAATACATTGAACTTGAAAGTTGTAACTGAATTAAACACAGGTATTAAAAAATATATAAAATTAATAGCATAAAAAATTTAAACACATAGAACTGTCGTATTTGAATTATAATTTCAATAGTTATTACTTACAGATCTAGCGGTACTCATCCTTCTATCCGTTCCATCATCACTCTGGCAGTGACTTCCTCCTCTCATGCCCATTGCAGAAACACGCATCCTCCTACAGATAAGTGCTATAAACAAGCAATATGGCGCCAGTGGAGGGAAGGGAGTAGTAGAGGGTGGAGGTTTTAAATATTGTCTTAAAGTTATTACATGTGAAATTTTGCATATTCAGTGTTAAGAGACCAATAGTTCTACTTACACAGCGTATGAAAACTCGCAGTAAGTAGTAATAATATGAAAATGCATTACCCTATCTCAGTTTCTGTCTCGTTTCTCACAGACACGACCGAGAAAAATGCATACATTAATTCTACTGAAAGCTGTTCGTATTCCCGTATGAAATTGCGTCGTGGAATCATTTCTTGAAGGGGATGAAACTGATATTGGAGTGAAAAGGTTTTAAGAAGTGCTGTGTTGCAATGTGGACATTGTATATGGAGTCAAGTATAAATAATACTGTATAATGAAACTTAACCTAAATTTAGGTGTTAGATCTATTCGTTCTTTGTAAAGTTATGGTTTATCAGAACTATGGTTATTTCAGTCTTTCTGCACAGACTTTTTTTTAATTGATCATTTACTAAATGAATGCATAAACATAATTTATAGTGGGGTCAGAAAGAGAGCTCCTTGGGAAATTGATATTACATTTGCCGTAATATGATTATTACAAGGTTTAACGGACCCAGAACAGATTGAGTACTGAGATTTTGTTGTGAGAGTAATGACATTGGTTGGTACGTTTATTATAAATGAAAGACTCCCATGCGTATAAGTAAAATTAGAATCAATTGCATCAAGTGTAACAGTGATTTTAATAATGAAATAAAGCCTTTACGTGTTTCGGCCAATGATGGCCATCATCAGAATGGAACTGACACTTCAAAGAAAATGCTTCACATGTATTTTGTGCAAAAATAAAATCCACATTACCACAAGACATTTGTTCACCAAGACACATCACACACTACACCACAACCCCACCCATCCACACACACACACACACACACAGACCCACACGCAGAATCAACACAATACGGACGACCTACTGTGAAGTAACACAACCATCACTGAACCTCACAGCAAGATTTTAATCAAACGGAAAATTCAGTCACTTTTAACATATTTTTGTTAAGTGGTTAACTCTTTATAGTAAAATTAGATTCAAACATGGAAATTATAGAGGTCTGGTTAACTTATCACTATTTATAAGATAAACTTATATTTTCTTTACATGCATATTATCACCCCCACTTCTGTCTCAATGTGAAGGTCTGGTGAAGTGACAATTTCACACCACTCATGCTTTAATCCAGAGCTTGGTTTTTTAAATTTTAAGTTGTCTTAGGATACATGGCAAATAGATGAGCAAGGGCGAGTCTTTAATAATAACTAGTTCTTCCATTCTTAGGGCAAAAAAGTAAAGTTGTTGCTGTCCTTAATTAGTTAAGCACCACCCCATGAAGATGCCTGAAGAAGCAGAGGTATAGCTGTACCATTCTTGACCATGGCACCAGATGGAGATGAGTGGTCAGCTGCAGTCCCCAGCTTCTTTACTTCCAAGGGAAAGAATCCCCAGGACCCATTGGTTAGGAGGGTGTGTGCCCCCAGAACTAGTCTGGACACTGTGGAGAAAAGGAAAATCTCTTTCCCATGCTGGGAATTGAGTCCCAGCTGTCCAGCCTGTAGCCCATGCCAACTGAGCTATCCCAGCCATCCATTCTGTTTTTAAGAGAAAGCATAATGTCAATAAGTATTATGATTTGGACATTATCCATCACCTTGTCTATTTTTTTAAAAACCATACTGTTTCTTTTTCAAACACAGTGTTTCAGAGACTGGATTCTGTCCCCAATCTCGGGTAAAACCTACTCAGTTGGATCCATTAGATAGAGCTAGCCCCTATCTCCAGACACCTATGCCAGTTTCAGAAGGGGTTCATAAACCAAGCATAACACAAACCATCTGTGAGAACTAAGAAAATATTCAATATTGAAGCTCCACACACATGAGGCCTTGCTGTCTTGAATGAAATCATACCTGAACAGAAGCAATACTCCTTGCGGTGCCAACACATGAAACAAACCCACTCCAACTACACTTGATGGTGCTGTAGTCTCTTGACATCTGCTGTGATGACAGGTGTCCAGATGGGAGAGATATCCACACTGGATTGACTGATTGGATGGTCCAGCAGAGACATGTGGGCTGATTCCTTGTATTTCCTGTATGTGGTGTTGGGTTCGATCTGCAAGACCTTCACTTCATTCTAACAAATTTTGTGGTCTTCCTCGTTTGCATGTTGGGCTAATTTAGATTTTTCTAGCAAACCCTGTGTCAGATTATATTTGTGTTCCTTAATGCGTACGTCTAGGGGTCTGCTTGTTTTGCCAATGTAACATCTGCTGCAGTCCCGTGGGATGCTGTACACACACTGCTTCAATTACTGGGCATCTGTAACAGGTCCAGTTGTCATTAATGTCCCACAGAGTTTATGTTTAGTTTTGAAGATGGTTCTGAGTTGAAAATGGTTCCCGATGCATCTGAATTTGTCGGCCATACTCTTGACAAACGGGATGACTACAGTACCCCAGTATGTTCTGTCTGAAGAGGGATGATTTCTTGTCGATGGCTTCATTACAGAGTTTACAAATTCATTAGGATATACACTGAGCATCAGATCATGTCTTATATTTCTGATTTCCTTGCTAAAATCCTTCTGGTTTTGACATATGACCTTCCCTCAGCTGTCCAAACTATGAACGATTCCCCTTTTTACGTGATGTGGGTGGTTGGACTTGAAGTGAAGATAACGACCAGTATGAGTAGGCTTTCGGTACACTTTGGTAATCAGTTTAGCACCCCGCTTCATAACCAGAATGTTTAAGAATGGAAGTGCATTAGTAGCCTCAACTTCCATAGTGAATTTGATGGTAGGCCTGATGTTGTTAATACGTTGAAGAAATTCCTGTAACTTTTCTGGTCCATATGGCCATATCACAAATGTGACGACGTATGTTAGCCATTTAGCCGGTTGTGTATTCAGCTTTGTCCAATGCCATTTCTTCAAAATGCTCCATGAAAATATTACTGACCACTGGAGATAGTGAGTCTCCCATTGCCATACCTTCCTTTTGCTGGTAGAATGTATCTTCAAACCTGAAGTATGTGGTTTTAAGCAGATGTCCAGTAGTTCCATCCTGTCTTCAGCTTGTAAATGTGAGCGCTCTGGGAAGGAGGTATCCATTCTGAATCTATTTCTTATGATTTGTAAAACAACTTCCACTGGTACATTGGTGAACAGGCTGACAACGTTAAAACTTACAAGGCAGTCTTCTTTTTGTTGATTTTATAAATTGTTCAGAGTTCTTTATGAAGGAACCTGTGTTGGCAGCCAGAGGGCTGAGGATGTTATGGAGGAATTCTGCCAGTGCATAGCAGGGAGAATCAGTATAACTAACTATTGGTCTGAGTGGGATATCAGGCTTGTGTATTTTGGGGAGTCCATAGATGTGAGGGGGTTTGCTGTGGTAGGGAGTCAGTTTATGTTTCAATGCCGCAGGAAGGACAGTTTTGTGTTTAGTAAGGAGTGTCCATATCTTCCTCTCAATTTGAGCTGTAGGATCCTTGCGTAGTAAGGAGTGTCCATATCTTCCTCTCAATTTGAGCTGTAGGATCCTTGCGTAAAATTTCACATACCCCTGAATCTAGCACACTGGATATCTTCTCCTTGTAAGTAGACTCATTCAACACCACCGTGCAGTTTCCCTTGTCAGTTGTAGAATTTGTACCTGCCTGTTGTTTTGTAGTAATATTCCATCCTCACAGACTTTCAGATCTTATTTGCATCATGTCAGTAGTTCAAAGCTTTTCTCATACATAGTTTTAATCTTTCATTAGTTGCCTTCCAGGAGAATATATGTTACATTTAATTTAGAAAAAATTATCTCAACATAAATTGTCACTTAAGGGCTCCTTAATCATATTCGTCAATTACTGAACATTGTTGGTGCTGCACACACTCAATACACAAATTTGTTCCATTTCCATATTAGAATTTGTAAGACACGAGAAAGGAATAAATGCACTGTTACACGTATTTGTAGATACATTCTGCAAGTCTCATGAAGTTCTTTCCAGCTTTGGTATGGATACATTTACACAGAATTTACATATCATGGCCCGTAAGGTTTGTTTTGCCTTTCAGAAAGGAACTGACTGACCAATTTCTTTGTCCCACCCAGGTGTACATATTCATCTAGCCACATTGTTGTAATGTGATGTACTTACCTTCACAAATTTTTAACTCTGTAGTGCTTTTAAGCAGATAAAATATTTTGTTGGGTAATGACATCTGTAAGCTGTACAAATATAAAAATGAAACAGTACACTTTGAAGAAAGGGTGGAAATGAGGTGATATTTTGCCGGATTTGAGGTTCTGACATCAGTGAGTATGAAGTCTTTGAGGTCATTACTGGTTATCTCCATATATTTTGTGATAAATACCATTAAAGCAATCATAAGAATACCCATGTAGCATAATACTTGTCATCCATTGTTTGTAGAAACTTTTTTTTTATTTTGTAGTACGCCCATTATATAAGACATGAAACCAGCAGACATTTCAGGAATAAAAAGAGGGAATATCTGAAATTGATGAGCTTGCAATGAACAGTAAGAACAAGAACATTAGAGACCTGTATAGAGGAATAAATGACTATAAGAGGGGTTACCAACCTTGAAGAAACTTAGCGAAAGATGAGAATGGTGATCTGCTTGCAGACTCCCACAACATTTTGAAGAGGTGGAAGAACTACTTCTCTCAGTTATTGAAAGTACATAGGGTCAGTGCTGTTAGGCAGATAGAAATGCACACAGCTTAACCGTTAATACATGATCCAAGCCCTTTTGAGGTTGAAATTGCTATTGCAAAATTAAAAAGGTATAAATCGCCAGGTAGTGATCAAACTCTGGCAGAACTTGTTCAAGCAGGAGGCGAAATATTACATTCTAAGATCCATAAGCTAATTACTTCAATTTGGCATAAGGAAAAATTGCCTTATCAATGGAAGGAATCTATTATTGTACCAGTTCACAAGAAAGGTGATAAAACTAACTAGAGTAATTATTGGGGGATATCACTGCTATCAACTTCATACAAAATTTTGTCCAGTCTTCTCTCAAGGTTAAGTCCATACATAGATGAAATTATTGGGGA